TTTTCTGATGAAGGGTCTAGGCCCGAAACGTCAGCCTTTCTGCTCCTATGATGCTGCTTGGCCTGCTGTGTTCATCCAGCCCTGCACCTTGTTGTCTCGGATTCTCCAGCATCTGCAGTTCCTACTATCTCTGATTCACTAGGAGCAGGAGTAGGCCATTCAGCCCCTCTAGCCTCTTCTGCCGTTCAATATGATCATCTCGGCTTCAACTCCACTCTCCGTAACCCTGCAACCCATTGCTGATTAAAAATCTGTCTCTCTCCTCCTTCAATTTATTCAATGTCATTCCGGACTAGTGAACTACACAGAGTTGCACAGCATGGAAACAGATCCTTCTGTCCAACTTTTATAGAATAGAATCCTTACAGTGTGGAAACAGGCCCTTTGGCCCAGCAAGTCCACACCAACCCTCAGAGCATCCCACCCATCCCCCTGTAATCCACCTAACCTACACATCCCTGAATACTATGGCTAATTTAGCATTAAACCCAACTCTGGTGGGACTCAAACCCACAACCTTTGAATGCCTTGAACAGCCTCAGACTAGAAGTCCAATGCACTATCCATTGCACCACAGAACCTCTTATTAACTTGTTCGTGCCAACCAGGTATCCTAAATTCATCTAGTCTCATTTGCCAGCATCTGGCCCATATCTCTCTAAACCGTCCCTATTCATGCTGTAATTTTACCAACCTCCCCAACTTCGTCTGGCAGCTCATTCTATACATGCACCACCTTCTGTGTGAAAAAGCTGCCCCTCAAGTCCCTTTTAAATCTTTCCCCTCTCACCTTAAACCTATGGCCCGCTAGTTTTGGACTCCCCTACCCTGCGGGAAAAGACCTTGGCTATTCACCCTATCCATGCCCCTCATGATTTTATAAACCTTTATAAGATCACGCCTCAGCCTCCGACGCTCCAGGGAAAATAGCCCCAGCCTATTCAGCCTCTCCCTATAGCTCAAACCATCCACCCTTGGCAACATCCTTGTAAATCTTTTCTGAACCCTTTCAAGTTTCACGACAGCCCTCCTACAGCAGGGAGACCAGAACTGAACACAGTATTCCAAAAGTGGCTCTAACCAATGTCCTGTACAGCTGCAACATGACCCTCCCAACTCCCTATACTCAATGCACTGACCAATAAAGACAAGCAACAAGGGCAGGTAATGGCCTTGCCCTATTATTGCTAATTGTTGTTATTATTGTTAATCCAGAGACCCAGATAACGTTCTGGGGACCCAGGTTCAAATCCCGTCCACAGCAGACAGTGGACTTTACATTCAATAAATATCTAACGATGACTGTGAATCCACTGTCAATTGTCAGGAATAACCCATCTGGGTCACTAATGTCCTTTAGGGAAGAAAACTTCCATCCTTACCTGGTCCGGCCTACATGTGACTCCAGACCCACAGCAATATGGCTGATTCTTAACTGCCTTCTGGGCAATTAGGGATGGGCCAGCAACACCCCTCCCCCCCAACCTGTGAATGAATAAATTCAAAAAAGCATGCCAAATGCCTTCTTTACCTGCAACTCCACTTCCAAAGAACTATGAATCTGCATGTTCCAAATTGCCCCACACGAGGTAATATCCTTTGTACATCTACTTTGTTGATCCATTTCGCAGCTCGAATACCTCAATTATATCTTCTCTCATTCTTTTAAACTCTAGAGCCTAGGCCTGTGCAACCCAATCTCTCTTCGTAAGATAAACTCCCCATCTTTGGAATCAATCTATTGAACCTACTTTGCACTGCCTTCAATGGAACTACGTTCTCCCCGCCACCAAGCAAGTGGACCAAAATTGTACTCAATACCCTGGGTCGATCTCACTAACTCCTTGTACATTTGCAGTACTACCCACTCATACCCCACTCTTTTTCAGCAGCCCAGCACCATATCTGCTGTCCCTTGCTCTTCCAGGGGGTAGAGGTCCCGGGTTTGGAAGGTGGTGTCTGAGGACCCTCGGGGAGCTGTAGACGGTACACACTGCTGCGACTGAGCGTCGGTGGTGGAGGGAGTTGGTGCTTGTGGATGTGGTGCCAATCCAAGGCGGGGGGGGGGGGTGGTGGGCTGCTTTGTCCCTGGACGGTGTCGAGCTTCTGGAGTGTTTGTCGGAGCTGCCCCCCCCCATCCAGGGCAAGTGGGGGTTGGGGGGGG